CACTTTCCTCGTTAACAGTTTGTAGGCAAGGGTGAACCCCTGAGGTGAAATAAGAAGGGGCTCGACAGATCAATATGAGAAGAAACCCGCGTTTATTTTTTAATGTGCTGGGAACATTTGTGGATGACGATGATTGTGATAGCCAAGTTCAAATTTTGATCGGCAGATATAGCTAGAGTATGTAGACTCTCTCTCGAGCCATGACGGCTTGGGACAGACATGAGAAAAGAGATTGACTGTATAAACTGTTTCACGTTGGCGAGTGAGGTTGATGTATCCATTTGTGGCTTGCTGATTGATGACGGTGATTCTCCTGTAGGAGAGAGGGCTGTCTGATCGGGAGGACTGAAGCCAGAAATACCCAGTCGGCAATGTACTTTTAAGACAGCACGAGGGCTGTTTTGATGGACCAAAATGTTGCTGGCTTGAAATTCTGTTATAGGGTTTCTAGCTGGTAGTACTTGGCGACAATTTTGATCAGCTTTTTCTTTTTAAGAAAAAAAAAACACATGCAAAACACTCGTCTGTCTTTGACGAGCCCATGCTCTCGCTTCTCCAACTCGTTATAACGTTTCACCAGGCGTTGAGAGAGACATCCCCCTCAACGGTGATACCATCACCACCCACCGAACACGTGCATTCTGTGCCCCCATTCAGGGCCCGGCTCCAGGAATGGATTATCCTCCACGACGCCAAAAAGATAGTCCATAGCGCCCACATTGATGACATCTTCAGACTCGTAGGTCCCCGAGTCCCCGAGAAAGCCTGCGTCGGGTATTTCACCCCCTTTCAGCCTCAAACCGATAGTATAAAGACCCCACTTGACTATCCCCGGCAGCTGAGCCGCCAGTCGGTCGCGGAGAAGTTCCAGTATCGATACCCAGCTCCCGTTCTGGAGCTTGACATCCACGTAAAGACGTCTTAGTGTGTGGCCGACGCCTTGGACAAATGTGAAAAATTCTTGCTGGTCTAGTTTAACTCCACAGACACGGAGCTCTTTTAGGTAGGGGAATGGCGGGCATTTTGATAGGGCAGGGCCGAGGTGGTAGCCGTCGCCGGGTCGACTGCCGCCCTCGAAATGAAGGCCGAAGCAGGTGAGGTCGATGTTAAGGGTTTTGAGTTTGGGGCTGGAGATGACAGCGGAAATGTAACCGTTAATGATTTCTTTGTCTTGTCCCTCAATGGGGGCGGTTCGGGTCGGCGGGGGGTGGGTGTAATGATCAATGTGGACGGATTGGAGGTCTTGGCATGAAATTCGGAGCTGGTGGAGGAGGGAGTCGAGGTCTTTGGTTGGTGGGAGGATCATACTGTAGTCACCCTTGCGAGGAAAGGCATTCACAACTAGACTTTTGAGGTGATGGCCTGCTTGGTGGATGGCAACCGGGAGGTCGGTGAGGAGTCTGGCAACGAAGTTGCTGCCGTAGAGAAAAGGGCTTCGTTTATTTTCCAGCTCAGTCCGGCTTCGAGCCAGGAGGTGAGAGCGGCCTTGTCCAGGAGGATATTCGGATGATACTCGGCCAGGTCACTTTCTTCCATGAACTGACACCTCTTGCTGTGATTGGTGTTGTAAAAGACGAGGTACTCAACTTTTCCTAGTCATTTGATTGCCGACGCAAACTTTTGGGCAAAGATTCCATCTTCGACAAGGCGGGACTGTTCCAAATGGAGAGCCTTGAACCGCTCATAGCTGTTGCGGAGAATGGAGCTCCACTCATCTCTTTCGCATTGTTGAGACGTGTCGAACGCAGGCTCCTCCCAGATTTCCATCATTAAACTCCAGCTCTTGCATATCTCGTCAAAATTGCTAGCGGCCTCGCACGACTCGGCGGGCTCTGAAATAAACTCACCGTGTGAGTCCAGGAAGCCAATACTAGCTAGAAGTGGGATTTCGGCCGACTCCATATCGCTCTACCTGCTTATTCAAAAGTTGGAGGTGGGTGTTAGTGAAATAAACCGGGGCCTCCGCCAGAGCCTTGGTTCGGTATGCCATTTGCAGCTTGACAGAGCGAACGCCAGATGCGAGACGGGGCATCACCAGTAGCTGCTCCAGCGTGTCGAGGGCGGTCTGGCTGATGTCAATGTGAATATGGGGGAGCAGAAGTGGCGGCTAGCTCACAAAAGAGGCGGTTGACAAGGCGAAGGTTGCGAATGTCGGACTGGTCCAGTTCACACTTTTCTCCTCCATGACAGACTGAGCAGTAGTCCCAGTCCCAGTCATAATGATGCTCGTGTGGAGTGAGCTCTTCGACAATTTCGCGAAGAATCTCCACGGGAAGGTCGTTAAGGGAACGATAGGATGTGCTCGGGGAGGAGTTGATGTGTAGGTCGCCGATGTCTTCGACAAGGTCATTCTCGGCGAGAGAGCTTGAAGGTGGGAGCCGTGTGGATGAACCACCCCTTATGCCGTTGTCATCGCAGTCCATCACGTCGGCTTGATTAACATTGGAATAGATACGAGGTTGGAACCTTTCACTCAAAGTAAGATACAAGCCACGAGTTACTCCCTTGCCTTCTTACCCAATAACTTGCTTGTGCGATGACTCGGCTGGTGTCGTTGAAAGCTGAGGACGGATTCGCACGTGAGGTAGCAGTCAGATCCCAACTGACCAATGACCACAGCCAACCAGAATCAAGGTCCAAAGCGATGTGACGCTGGTATGCCTCTATCATTGGCCGGGCCGATCTCTGTGCAACACTCAAGCCAAATGTTGATCCTTAAACTACACTGATAGTTGGTATTGTTAAGGGCCTATGGCTGGGTGAAGGAAAGAAAAGGAATATGAAATACACTGCCCACGACGTCTTCTTATACCGCCCAAACTCTCCGGGCTTCCCCTGCAAAACGTATGGAATATCCACCAGATTTGTCTGAATTCCTACGTCAACCGCAAGTCTCCCACGTCAATTGACCAAATAACCCTAACTCAGATATCATCCCATAACGGGTATGAGATATTGTTCTCGACGTTTCCAGCCAGCTTAGGGCAAGGAACATCGGAGGTCATGTAACTGGGTGTGTTGAGCTGGCCACGATGATGTTGAGAAGAAAGTGTGCCGCAGCACGGACCACCGTCAAAGCGTCATCGGGAAAAAAGCATTTCTTTACCCGCTGCAGATTCCCCTCCCCATCTACAAACACACAGATGTGGCTGGCAGGATCAATTGCGGCAGACAATTCAACTTGTTGCTGTTTTCCTCCCTTTTCTTTTCTTCAACCTGCAGCGGTACCCAGGCACCACAGCATCAGGAGTCTGGGGATGCGGAGTCGGGTTCGGGTTCCACAAAATCGCCAAACACGAAACAAGGCGGAGAACATAGCCGGCCAGACCAGGGAGTCGGGGCTTGATAACTACTCTGCCACTGGCGAGAGATGAGCAACCAGCTTCTGGTGTCTGTACGCTCATACCGGTGGTCGACCAACGGGGGACGCTACTGCATCCCGGCTGACCTCGGTGTGGAATGTCACGAATTTTCAGCAGTCCAGTCCGAGCACACGGCAAACCCCGCCCGCAGGAACTTCTGATATGCGCTTTTAGAACACGAGCTTGACACCAATCAAAATATCAGTCGAGGACAATTTTGTGTTATTATGCAACTGACTGAACCAAAGCTCGAGCAGAGACGAACCCATCAAGAAGGGATCGCCACCTAGGGCAGGCTTCATCCTCGCTGCCGGAGCTGGACAAGGACGCCGTCGACGATAGTGGGGGAGCTGTGGACCTTGCCCTGAACCACTGACATCTCAAAAGCCGCCGCACCCGGAATTTTCTTGCTGACGCACGGCCGTTGGCTATTGATGGGCGATGTGCTCGAGGATCGAGGTGATCTTTTCACAGCAAGCCGGTAGTCAAGTGTCATGCCACACCGCCATGGAACCAATGCCGTGCCAATTGTTCTAGGGCTGCAGCAGCACGGGCGTCCCTTTCGGTGGGTTCTGCAGAAATGAGAACCATCAGCTCGGCAACTTTGGATGATGAAGCATGAAGCACAGGAGAAACACCTGGCGCTGGCTGGTGCAGAAAATGGAAAAGGGAGGCGGGAGGAAATTGTCTGACCTCTTTTTAGCCGGCGACAATAAAAGTTTGGGCGAAGCGACCCGGATTTCAGGCGAGGAGGCGAAAAGCACGTCGATGGAAGCGATGCTCGGTTATGTATTTTTGCTGCGCGGTGGCTTGCTGTTGCTGCCCTCGCTGTCGTTGGTGGTCGAAGCGACGAACGAGGTTGATTGTTGTGGTGTTGCTCGGACGTGTCAAAGCGCTAACAGCATCTGCCCTTTCCTTTCGAGGTGTCCTGTTAGGGGCCCGTCTCGCCGGATGCAACCCCGCATCAATGCCCTGAAAGGGGTTAGCTACTCGCAGCTATGGAGCGCCTGTGTGTCAAGCTCCGATCAGATAAGCGAGGAAATCTGCTGACATTACCCGCTTCCCTCCCCAGCACGGTGGTTACCACCTGCTTCACGGGTCCACCCAGCCCCGTCCAAGCCGTTCGAGGCCAACCATGGCGTCCCGGGCAAGAGCTTCAAAGGGGACCATGATCCCGACCATGCGGGCCGGTGGATTCTCTCTTCAGCTTGTGTTTCTTGAAGAAGCAACAAGCAACAACGAAACAGCGCCATGGACCAAGACGAAGAGGCATATCGAATCGATCAACGACGACAGGATGAGCTGGTCATCATCACCGTGGTTTTCACGTCGCTGTCCATCCTCGTCGTCGGCACCCGCACCTTTGTGCGGGCCGTCTTGATGAGGAAATTCGGCGCCGATGACTGGACCATGTTGGGGGCCTTGGTAGGTTGATGGGCTTCTCCGCTCGATACGTCCATCATTCATGAAGCTAACCTGCCTGTCTCACCACCAGCTCTTCTCCTGCGGGTATCTCGTCGAAATCCTCATCATGAAGTACAACGGAGTCGGCCACGCAATAACCACCTTGACAGTTGACAACATGCTCATCTTGATCAAGGTGACGTTGGCCATCCAGTGTACCTACTACGCATGCGTCAACTGCATCAAGTTCTCCATTCTGTGCATGTACCTTCGTATTGGTACGTCGACTGGCTCTTCCCATCTCGCCCTCGCCATTCATTTCACTCTTGCTGACAGTTCTGCCTCTCCACAGCCGTGACAGAAACACTCCGATATGCATGCTTCGGCCTGATAGGCTTCCACGCGGTGTTCTTCATCATCTCTCTTACAACCACCCTTGCGCAGTGCCAGCCTCTCGAGAAGATGTGGGATCTCACCAGTGTGGCCCCAGGCACGTGCATCAACACCACCGCATTCTTTTACTTTACGTCCGGCTTCAACATCTTGACCGATATCCTCATTTTTGGCCTCCCCATCAAGACCTTGATTGGCATCAACCGCCCCCGCAAGGAAGTGTACGCTCTTGTTGGCGTGTTTTGCATTGGCGCCTTCGCCACTGTCATTGCCATCATCCGATTGCACACCATCATTGTCTACACCACCGCCGTCGATCCTTTCCGAGAGTCCATTCTCGTCAACCTCTGGTCCGTTCTCGAGGTCAACATTGGCATCATCTGCGCCTCCGCGCCCGCTCTGAAGCCCCTGTTCCACCCCCAGGCACTTCGAGAGGCGAGATATGGTAGCAGCGGCGGCCCGCCAAAGCGGACGGGATACCACTACCATTCACGGGACAAGAGCGGCACAGAGATCAAGAGCAATATCAGGGTTGAGCAGGAGTTCAGTGCCCGGAGTATCAACTTGGGACCCATCCCCAGCAACACCGCCCAGGTAGTCGGGGGGAGGGAACAAAACTCGGATCAAGACAGTGTGGATAAAATCTTGCAGGATCGGTATTAAACAATAGTGTCTTGGGATTGTGAGTTACAAGGATGGGAACGGCGCGGTGATACCAATTTCTTTTGTCTTTGTCTTTTGGGTATGGGTCCTGGAAGGATATTTACCTCGGCATATAGGATTTATTTAACCTTTCGGTCAGTTAAAAATGTATAATAATATCATGGAGACACAAACATAACGACTAACGATTTCTTTTATTGCGCATCAGGCCTACATCATTGCTGAACCGTAAGGAAACTACTGACGATTAGTACAAACATCAGAATTGTTGCCCTACATCGAGTATCAGCCTGTCAGGCGGCTTCCACGCCTATGACTTCCAGGGACCTCGGGCGGACTCCTCAATCGTGTTGATGGCATCAAAAGGGGCAGTAGTGTCGCCACTGCTCACCGTGCCTTTTAAGTTCTATTTGCCAACTATTATCTCTGACCATGCTCTTTGTTTTCGGGGAGATACATGTTGCGGACAACTTATACGTTCATTATTCCCTTAACTGTTCGCATGTAAACATCGCAAGACAGCTGTGCTTTGGTGTGAAAGCGTGTTTCACGGGTTTGTAAGCACGTTGCCCAGATTCTCCCCTTTTAACATCACAACCCGTCTATGTGCTTCTAGTATTCTTCCCGGCTTGCTCGAATATCATAAGAGTCTTTGGGTGCATGGACACACTGAGCTCGACGCTGCTGTTGTTTAGTGCTATGAGGTACTGTTAGTAAGCCGGGACTGTTTTGAGATGAAGGGGAAGTTTTATAGCTTTGAACAAAACTATATAAGTCGAGGCTACTGATACACCTGGTTGACACGAGCATGGCTGCTAAGCAAACATCTGTCAAACATAAAATCTCCAATGATATTGAAACATTACTGTTTGTGTTGAAGCTGTGAGTAGATGTGTTCTAACTCTAATGAAACATGATTTATATAGCTATTATAGAGGAAGGTGTGTGTCACAGTTAAGCTAACGGTGTGACGAACCCCTATCCAGAACCCCTGAAAGAGATACTTAGTTGAAGGTGCTTCTCAACAATTAGTCCGGTGCAGGTAAATAGTGCACAACAATGGCTTGTCTCAATCACAATAGTGTGATACCAACGAATGTGACTTGTATTGCATACTGCGGAACTATCTACCTGCTATCTGGTTCCTCCGTATAGATAGACCTGTGGATCACCTGGATCACGTTCCCCAAAGGTGATCTGGATCATTTTTTCTTCCTGTGGCTCACTACGCTCACCGTGAGTTCGTCGCTCCACTTCCAATTGGTCAGTAATGACTGGCTAGGGGTGTCCCGCGCTCCGTGCGCTAGCTCTTGATCAGCGATTGTGACTGTTGCGGAGGGTTGATGCTGGTATATTATAGAGCTTAGCTGCGGCTCTAAAGCTTAATTTTTCGTCCTTTTGGAGAGCTTCAAGGGCTAAGATTACCCTCGCTTCCTTTTGAGTAGGAGGCATATCAGATTCTAGAAAAATTCGATGTAAAGTGCAAAGAGGACGCGTCGCGCGAGGGAGTGCGACACCCACTGATATGTACGACTCACTGATAATATACGTTATAGATATCTTGATACTTTTGAGAATTTAGAAGTATATATTGGTTAGATTTCTACCCTCTTTTTCACTAATATTTCCTTTATGTAGTGGATAAACTTACTTTTTACTTTAGCTGATTCCTACCTGTATAGCTATTCCCACACTAATAACCCATTACTAGAAGCTATTCTTACCCTGCTTACACTTTGTGACGAACCTCTGTACAGAACCTCTGAAAGGGATACTAGTTGAAGGTACTTCTAACAATTGGTTCGGTGCAGCTAAACAGTGCACAACAAGATGTCTCGATGTAAACACAAGATGCCGTGAATATAACTGTGAATTGCATACTGCGGAACTGTTTATCTACACCAGCCAGTTCCTCCGTATATATAGACCTGTTTATCACCATTATTACCAGTGATAATGTCGATTATCACTCGTCGTTCACCGAAGGCTGGTGATAATCGCGATTATCACCCTTGGCGCTAGTGATAATCTGACTTCCCCACTTTTCCGTTCCTAGTGGTTGGACGGGTCGCGCCCCGCGCTCCCCACTTATGTCAGGTCCGTGACACCACCCCACTACAACTATCTTTAATTACATAACCATAATACTAGGAAACCACAATAATTGAACTAGAAACAGATGAATCAGATGATTCTGCAGCCTCCTTGCAGGTGCGTGTATTATGGCCTGGCTTACCGCACACGCCACAGCACTGAATCTTCGGACGAGATCCCCTTGCACCACCACTACTTTGTCGATCTTTCTGGATTACCTGCTTACCTACAGCCTTTTGATCCAGTAGATCCTGTGCCTCTTGTACAGTAAGTGACCCTCCAAGCCGCACACGTATTTTTTTGGCTTTCCGGCGCTTACTTAATATCTCGTTAGTTTTACGGAGTGTAGTATTTTTTGTACGAAGTAGAGCGACCTAATATATTACAGTTATTATATTTTTAGTAAGCTAATTTATAGTAATTAATATTAAAGTCGGGGAACTATTTTAATAGTTAATAATATAAGTTTTAATAAACGTTAATTATAAATTAGCTTCTCGAAAGTTATATAGTATTTGGGAGACTTAAAGTTATATAGTGCCGGGCTATAAGTTTAAAAGTATTAGCGTACGAAACTTTATATTTAGTTTAGAAAGTACTCTCTTTAAATTGTACGGTATAAGGTTAGTACCCGTAAAGCTACTCTATATATTTTTCTTTATTATAGAAGCGAAAAAAGCTTTACGGAAAGTATAAAGGAACTTAAGTTTACTTATATAATTAATATATATACGTATTAAATCCTCGATCTAGCGACCGTATATTTATTTTAATAATTTAAAGTAATTAATATTAAGTAATTAAAGGAAGTAGGAGGAGTATAAAGGTATATAAAGCGTAATAATATTATTCTATTAATAATAACGTTTAAATTCGGTCGAGTAGTAACTTTCGTAATTATCGAGGATTAATAACCGGTATTTACCTTTTATATAAGACGTTATATAATAATCGAAGTATTTAATTTAATTTAGGCCTACCGTATTAATAGTTTAATTATTATTAATAAGTATAATATATTAAATAAATAATAAATTATATTTAGTATATTAATTAGTAAAGTAGTATTACGCGATTAAAATAATAAAAGAAGGAATAGTTTAGTTAAGGGTATTAATTTCCTAAATTATTATTATTTATTTGCGGTTATTAAACTAAATTAGTTTCGCTTTATTACGGTTATTAAAAATTATAATTATTATACTCGCGAAAATAATATTTATTATAAAGCTAGTCTCGTCGAAGTTATAAATATTATTATTTATAATACCGTACTTAATTTTAATATTCCGTATAAAAGTAAATTACTTGCTAATAACCTTTAGATCTTTATATTTAACTCTCTAATAATTATATTTATTCGTAAAACACGTCCGAAGTTCTAGCTAACGTTTAACGAAGTTATAAGCCTATCTGTAACGAACCCCTATACAGAACCTCTAAAAGGGATACGGGTTAAAGGTAACTTCTGACAATTGGTTCGGTGCAGCTAAACAGTGCACAACAAGATGTCTCAATGTAAACACTAGCTACCGTGAATACAAGCTTGAATTGCATACTGCGGAACTGTCTATCTACACCAGCCAGTTCCTCCGTATATATAGACCTTGGGGCCGTGAGGTGCTCGCCCTGCTATGGGCCCGATCACTCCTAGCACATTGCATCCTGCATTGTGCTCGTCGTGCTATACCTCTGATCACTCCTAGCACATTGCATCTGCATTGTGCTCGTCGTGCTATGCCTCTGATCATCCCTAGCATCTTGCATCCTGCAGACTGCTCGTGAGCCTTGGCGCCATAGCACTTTTGCCTAGCCCTGATCGGCTTGTTCCCTGACTTCCTGAATGATTGGCTAGGGGCGACCTGCGCCCCACATGTGGCGCGACTTGCCGTTGGGTTAACTGTGACATAAAGTAATTAAAACGTATAGTATTACCTATACTTAAATCCTTTTATACTTTTTAACTTCGTAATATAATATATAATACGCCGGCTATTACGTTAAAAGTATAGGTTCGATTTCCGTCGAGGTTCTTTTATATTTAAATTTATAAATACTTTTTTATAAATTTAAATATAAATCTCCCTTTTTATTACCGGTAATACTTTTTTATTTTATAATAATAGAAACGTATAGTATTAATTAAGTTTAGATTTCTTTATACTTACTAACCTTATAATATAATACGTAATACGTTAACTACTACGTCGAAAGCATAGGTTCGATTCTTATTAAAATTCTTTTAATTCTATATTATAGTTATTTAACTATAATTTAGGGCTAAATCTTTTTACTTACTTAAGTTTTAATCAGTTTAAATATTATTAATAAAATTCTTTTTATTTATTTAAGTAATTAAAGTATACCTATAATTCCTATAAGTTATTTATAACTAAATATTTTAATTAACTAACTAAATACTTTAATTAACTTTTATTAAACCGTAAATCTAATATCTTTTTTATATCGTACTCTTCTTTTTTATCCTCCGCTATTACCTATATATTAACTTTATTTACCGGTAATATAGGTTTTAAAAGTAAAATATAAAAAATATATAACCGTAAATATATTATATTAAATAACTTTAATTCGAATACTATCTTTAAAATCTTCCTTTTAATTTTAAATAGGCTTACTCTCTTATAGTCTAGCTTCTTATTAGGTCTTTTAGTATATAGATTATGTATAAAAAGGAATATTATATTTCTTCCCTTAAAGTAAAGTCCCTCAAGCCTTTTAATATTATAGTATTTCCGTATTCTTTCCCTTATAAACTTTAATTTTTACTTAAATTTACCGTAAAATATATATATTTTATTTACTTTAACCCTAGCCCTAAGTACCTTAACCGTAAGTCTTTACCGTAGGTCTATTTTATATTTAAAGTTTATAAAGAACGGTAT